GTTCACCGGTGTGATCAGTGGGTGCCAAGAACAGGGCCCCCTACCCTGTGAATGAATGAATGAATGAATAGCTGTCTTAGAGGGTTAGGGGGACAGTCCCTGGGAAAGAACTTTGTGAATGGGTACCAGAGGAATAAACGCCCCCTCTTCATCACGGGTCAGGACAAGGGAGGAAGTGGTAAAATTCCCCAGCACCATCCTCTTTACAGGCTGAGACTGGGAGGTGAAACCCAGAACCAAGTCTCCTTCCTCTTAGTTCTGTCTTCCTGTGCCCTGAGGGACAGAGGCACAGGAAGTCCCAGATGCCCGCCTAAGGCGCCTCTGAGTCATGATTAAAAGGCAGCCTAGTCTAGGTGCAGTGGCTCACACTTCTAATCCTAGCTCAGGAGGCTGAGGCAGGAGGCTTGTGAGTTTGAGGCCAGTTTGGACAACTTAGCGGGGCTCTGTCTCAAAATAAAAAATGGCTGGGGATGTATCTTAATGCAAAGGCCCTGAGTTTTCTCCCCAGTACTGGAAGGAAAGAAAGAGAAACAAAGAAAGGAGGGGCAGAAGGAGGGGGACCCAGCTCCCCCTGCTAGCCTGAGCTCCCCCTGCCTGCGCCTGTGAAGCGGGCTGCTGTGTAAAGGGTCTGCTGTTTTCCTCTCTGCCCCTGCATCTAACAGGGCAAGTTTCCTCCAAGCAGAAGTTCTGCACACAGGCTTGTGGGGAGTGGGGGCGGAGAGCCATAAACCAGGTTTATTAACTCGCTGAAAGGCAAGTAGCGGGGACCCGGGGCTGTGGCACTAGGAAGATCCAGTCAAACATCACCGCATTGGTTTATTTTTTTAAAGTTTCTGACCGAATGTATATTTCTACATGTTTAGAGATTGGCAGCCCTGGAGAATGAAGTTTATTTATCCACCAGATATACATCATATAAACAGCTGCAAAAGGCCTCGCCTCCCATGTGGCCGGGGCGCTCAGTGCCGACCTGCAGCAACTCAGTTTGCTTGTGTGCTCTGCCTGCAGCCTGGCCTTGGGGTGAGCCTTCAGGAGGCGGGCAGCAGGCTCTGGTCACTGGATGGGGCTGGGACCAAACTTCTACTTGTGCTGGGCATGGCTTGCTGAACCTTCTCTGGCAGCTTCCGATAACTTCATTGATTTGTTGAACTCACGACCTTGCACTTGCCAGGCAGGCGCTTGTGCTGCTGAGCTAGATCTCCCACCCCATTTTTTTTCACAGTACTGGGGATTAAACCTAGGCCCTTTTAAAATTTTTTATTTGTTATTCTGAGACAGTCTTGCTAATCCTTAGGTTTCTTGGTTGGATTGAAAGTTGCAATCCTCCTGCCTCAGCCTCCCACAGTTTTAGGATTACAGGCCTATGCCACCAACCTGGATCAACAAATCATTATTGATTGTTCCTGGGTTGTGCATTAGACTTTGGTAATGCCAAGTTGATCAGACAGGATGCTGGGAGACCCTTCTTTCCTGGGGGTGAGATGGTAAAGCAAGGCATTTCCTCTAAGCACAGCTCTGCCAATACCTCAATACAACCAGGAGCGAGGCTGTGAAGGGGCCTCCTGTCTCTTCTGGTCCCCAGGCATGGACAGCTGTTCCTCATCATCCTCTACCTCTGTTCCCGTGGGTGCCTGGAAAAGTGAGTTCAAGATGCTTCCGGAAATGAGGAGCAGTCAGGATGCTAAAATGCTTGGAAGTCATTCCTCGGTCTCCACTACACTCTGCTTGTGTCTAGGGACTATTCTGCGTCCATATGTGTTCTAATTTATTAAATGCGGACATCCAAAAGCCACGGAGCCAGGTCTCTGGACTGCTGGTGGGATGTAGCAAGCTTTTCTGCTCTGTGTCTCCGAGCAGGCTGATATCACGACAGTGGACAAACTGACAGTGAACAAACAAGGGTGGGAAGCAGGTGCTGCCTGGTGTCTCGTATGCCATGCAGACCCCAAAGAGTGAGCGGCCCTGGGAGCCTAAATTGGCGAGAAAGTTCAGAATTACTGTTTCGCTTTCTAGGATGAGCAGTTCACATTTACAAGGTCAGTTGTTATTAGACCCAGCGAGGCAGAGGGTACAATTTCTAGCTTGGAAATTATTCTTCCTCCGAACCTTCCAGCCCTCAAACCTTGTTCCCCTGCTCTACCTCACAGCAAGGTTCTTTCCCCAGCCAGCTGAGTACCAGGATTTCAAGGGTGGCCTCAGCTCACTATCCTCTTTCTTTCACTGGTCAGTGCTGCTAGTGGGTACCGGACCCAGGGCAGGAGGGAGAGCGGCCTCTGTGAGGGGCGGGATGTGAAAAGGAGCCAAAGTATGGCCAAGGTGCTCGGGAGAAGGGAGGACATCATAGGTGGGGGCAGGTGGAGGAAAGGGCTGGAGGTGTCAGGGAGGCCAGGGGAGGAGTGCTTTCTCTATTCTTGCCACAGTCGTTTGTTATCCTGGCCTGTACCCACAGGGGCCCAGAGGGAACTCGGCTTGGGCACTGCCAACTGCCACTGTTTATTATGCCAGCCAGCAGCCAGACACTGTGCTAAGTGCTTTTACAGTGCCTTGAGGTGAACTGTGAAGTCTTATTTCTCAGGACCTATATGGAAATACAATCTTTGCAGGTGTCATCAAGTTAGGTTCATTAAAGTCAGTCCTACGTCAGTATGACCAGTGTCTTTGTAAGTGGGGGGAAGTTGATCATGGATACATAGACAGCGTGTCATATGATGCTATGCAAGGACCAAGTGCTGCTGCTGCTGCTGCAGCCTGAGGATAGTTAGGATGGCCAGGAATGCCCAGGATGGCCTATGACCACAGGAGCTGGAGTCAGAGAGCAAGGAGTCTCCTCTAAGCACTTGCCAACATCTTGGTCTGAGACTTACCCCATCCAGAACTGTGAGACAGAAGTCCCTGTGGTTGAAAGCCAGTTGACTTGTAAATCTCCGCCCTTTTTCCTAATAATCAAAAGATGGGACTGAAAGGATTTTGGCCTAGATGGGACACTGTAGCCGGTAAAGCCTTGGAGGTGGAACCAAGGAGCTCTATCTTCCCCACCCCTAGGAATTTGCCTAGGCATGAAATGAATACCAATGGGCTACCTGTACATCTCTAATGCCCCTTAGGCACCACCCCAAACTTAAGCTACACGTATGCCCCCATGCCACGTGTCCGACGGAGAGATTGCCAGACCCCGGAGAGAATGCCGGACCCCAGTGGTTCGAGGGATCCTCTCCCAGCCTTCTTAAAATAAAGGTCATTTGGGGCTGGGGATTTAGCTCAGCAGCATAAGAGCCTGCCTTGCAAGCAGACAATCGTGAGTTTGATCCCTGGTACCGATAAAATGAGAAAGACAAAAAAAAAAAAAAAAAAAGGTCATTTATATTTCATACTTCTTTTCAGCCGCGCCACAATTCTATCATATTTGTGTTACTGTTACAGAAGTGGGAGGAAATACTGGTACTTTGTCTCCCCTGCAGTACCACTACCCACCGGTGGGAGGCGAAACAGAGACTCCCTAAAAAAATGTCTTTGCATTAATCCAGAATCTGGGAATGCGGGCTCTACAGACAGGAAATTAGAGTTCTTTTAAAACACGGAGATTATTTGGATGGACCCATTTAATCACCTGAGCTTTCATACTTGACAACTTCCAGCTGGAGCAGTAGAGGTGCAGCAGATGGAGAGAGATGTTGGAGACACATGTAAGGGACTTGGGTGTCACTTCTGGTTTCCAATCCAGAGGAATCTGTTGAAAGGCTCCCCTTGGGCCCTCTGCAAGGAAGGGGCACCTGTGTTCTACAGCACAGGAGTGGAATCCAGGAATAGCCCGTTGAGAACGGAGGCAGATCCTTCCCCAGGGCCCCTGTGAGGAATGGAGCCCTGGCCACCAGTGGAGCTGTGAGATAGCACACTTGTGCAACTTTAAGTTTGTGGAAACTTTTCACAACAGCAACAGAAGCTAGTATGCCATCTACAGAACAGATACCACAACTGAGGCACAGCAGAGTGCTGAGGTGGCATCACCAAGTTTTCAGAGAGCTGGTCAGTAGATGTGCTGCCACGGGAGCTCAGGAATGCCTGAAGCTGAAGTCCACAAGGCTTAGCTGTCCAGTGCTAAGGAACTTATGGCAGAGGTGTGCAACGTGTAAACGGAGTCTACAGAAGAAGGGGCATGGGACATGACATGGCAGGGAGCTGGTAGTAAGGAAAGGAGAACTGGACAGGGGAAATCTGTGGCCCTTTGGGCTGGGGTGCGGGTGGTACCAACAGCAGATGGCTGATGCTGGGTTAGGGCCCTAGCATGAAGCAGACTCCAAGGGTCATAGCCAGGCAGAGTAGAAGGGGTTGGCATCGGGAAACAGCCAGAAAAAGAGGGCTGGGGTGGCCACATTTGTTGCAGGAATTCATCTGCATCCATCCTGGACAAGGTCTTTGCTTTGTTCCTTACCTCCCTGTAGGATGGCTGATCAGCCACACAGCCACAGTGACAAGAGGGCTGCATTCTCAGGCTCTCTGGGCCCCACACTAACCCTGGGCAGGAAAGCCAGTAATACGTGATTCCCTGGTGACATGGTCTCCAGGCTCTGAGAAACTAACTGATGGTGGCCAGGCGTCCTCTTGAGAGGGACCAGAGATGGCTGTGAAAGGTAGGGATTGCTTTGTCTGGCTCTTGGTGGAACTGTCAAGGGCCTTAAATGCCTCCCTGGTTCCATCACTGTGGCAAGAACCAAGCACAGCTGCACTTTCCACGTACACACATGACTGCTAAGCGTATCATTCCCATGTGCGGCTCAGTACTGATTTAGCAGGAAATACCAATTGGTGATAGATGATTATCATCACCAAGTATCAGGAACCTCTATTAGTACATAAATCAATCACTTCAAAAACAGTTCCAGGCTGCCAAACAGTGGGCAGCCCCCAGAAACACATTAGAGATTTTTCTGCCAAGCCCACCACACTTGGACTTCCCGTCCACCATGAGGGGCTCCTTCTCAGCTCAGAGTAGCCATGCAGAATGCAGTGTATTCAATCCAAATTTTAATTGAATGATTAATAATTTTTAATGTACACATATCCCATGCAATATTTGCTCATGCAATATTGGTGACAAATTTACATTAAAAATGTGCCGTTTATCCAAAATTCAAATTTCACCATGTCCTATAATTTTCATCGGTTAAATTTGGCAATAAGACCTAAAGTGTCCTGCCTTATTTGGAGTGTCTTGCCTTATTTGGAGAAGATGAAGCTAACATTATCTTTGTTGTTGATTTGAAGCATACAGAGTGTTTTTTTACAAAGAAAGTAAGTAGATTATTTGTTCACAGTAAGTGGGACAAAAAGAAATTTAAAACAAATGATGCCTCAGTTGGATAAAATGAACAAGATGAGCCAACATGGAATGATTTTTTTCTGTGATGTTGAGGGAAAGGAGAAAATGATGACGTGCTCTGCTTGTGGTGGATTAACTAATGGTCAACTTGAGTGGGAATACCCAGCTGCGCTGAGTCAGCATGGTGCTAGGTGGGGAAGGCCCACTTGCGGACTGTTGCGTAAAAGAACTGGAGGGGAAGATGGTGTACTATTGATTCTTCTGGAGAAGCTTGCCGCAGCTGGTTTTCCTGATACAAACTCCACCGAGCTTGATGTCAGATGGACTTGGCACCTTGCTGTCACTGAGGATGGCTTTCAGGATCTCTTTCAGGAAGCTCTGGTCTTCATCTTGGGTGTTGCTTCCTGGTTTCAGGGCAGCTCCCTCAGCCTGTAGGCATAGATACTACATCCCGCTGGCTCAGACTTCCTAGCTTCCAGCGTTTGATCTTTGGGCCTTCCCAGTGCAGATCCTTGATACAAACTTGCATGAGACATTGCCATGTGCTCTAGGCCTCTGGCTGGACTTGTTCAGGACATTGCCATAGGATCTAGGTCCTCTGCTGGATTTAAAAAAAAAAAAAAAAAAAAGAGAGAGAGAGAGAGAAAAAAAACAGAACAAAACAAAATAGTGTAAGGGTACAAGTAATACAGAACTACAGAAAAAAAAAAAAACAGTACCAGTTAATAGATTACACACTATCATCTTTGAAACGGTGATTCAGGTCACAGGATCAAAGTATACAAAGTGAACATTCAAACAGTGAGACTGTAAATAGTTGTGTTCAATGATCCAGTCAAAAATATGAATATGGTCATCTATTTAACATACCTAAACACATTTGCTGTTGTATCCTTTAGGGCACTTCCCCCCCCCCCCCCACTCTCTTTATTACAACAAAATTTACACATTTTGGGTTTTATTGCTCCCATAGATCTTATTACTTTTTTTTGTAGGAGAATAAAATCAAACATGATAAAACAAAGCTGTCAGTCAAAATCAAGGATAGACATAACACATGATGTAAAAACAGAGTACAAGGTTATCAACAATGGTTACCATAATGCCTCTTGCTTCCTTAAGAAGAATTGTCTAGGGGCTGGGGATTTAGCTCAGCGGCATAAGCCCCTGCCTTGCAAGCAGGCAGTCATGAGTTCGATCCCCGGTACCGATAAAAAGGAAAAAGACCTAGGGCTGGGGGTTTAGCTCAGCGGCATAAGCGCCTGCCTTGCAAGCAGGCAGTCGTGAGTTCGATTCCTGGTACCGATAAAAATGAAAAGAGACAAAAAAAAAAAAAAAAAAGAAAAAGGAAAAAGACCTAAATAAATAAATAAATAAAGAATTGTCTATCTCATTAGGTATTATAAAGTTGAACAAAACAGTAGAGAACAAGTCCAATAAAACCTAAATATTGTAAACCTTACAGAACTTCAAAAGAGGATAATAGTCAAACCAGAATGGGCATCAAGTGAATCTTATTGCCTTCAAAGTAGTTGCTCTGATACTTAATACTATCATATAGAGCAGAACAGAGTCTAATCAGTCAAAACAAGATAGTGGGAGTATTACAGGACTTCAAATCATGTTAATAGGAAATCAAAAAAGTTACTATAATATATCCTGCCAGTTTTTTCCCCCTTAGTTTAAAAAACAAATAAAAAAAATTAAATAACTTTTTAATGAATAAGGGAGAGGTTGAGATAAAAGAGGGCATAACAACATAACAATACAGGTCCAAGCGTGACAGTTTCAGCAACCTAGTGCTTCACCACCAAATAACCCGACTTAATAGTAGTTACCATAGTGTCTTTTTCTTTGAAATATTTGAATATAACTTCATATGCTATAGCATCAAACATATCAAGACAGTGTAACACCATTCAAGTGGATGAAAGCATTGTAGAGTATTTAGAACCAGCTAATAGAAAAATGAACAATGGTTTCTATATTGTCTCTTTGCCTATAACAATTTTTGTTTATACTACCACATATGATAAAATCCACAGCTGGATTTTTTTTAAAGCCACATTCTTTGGGTCTTCAGTTCTTGACAAATCTCTTACAATTCTCTTCATTTGACCTTTTTGGGTGAATATTATAAAATAATCCTATGAATTATGTGTCCTGTGTTAAATCAATTCCCTTGCAAACTTTAACTACAATACTGTCCTAAGTGTGCTTTCAAAATCCATACTATTTGAATCAAGTTGAAGATGGTTACATCTAATATTTTCAAAGAAAGAAAGACACAGAGGCTCAGGAGAGCTGGATAAATTGTTCAAGGTCACACAGCAAGCATGTATAGCAGGAAGTAAGTCTGGGTTAGAATAGAACCCTGGGACAGAGGTCCAAATGGCCCTAATTTGAAAATAGTAATATCAGGTAACACAAATTGGCCATGCATAAAGCGTGCCCTTTACCTGATGTAGTCCTTTCAATCCACACTGAATGTTAAGAAGGTATGAGCATTATGGTTACCCTTGATGTGTGTAGGAGATTGATTCCAAGACTTCCCACTGATACCAAAATGTGTGGGTCTTCAAGTCCCCTATATAAAATGGAACAGAATTTGCATAAAACCCATCACATCCTCCATAAACTTTAAATCTTCTCTCATTATCTGTAATACCTTACTCAATGTAAATGTGATGTAAATAGTTGTTACCATGTATTGTTTAGGGAATAATGACACCCACTCAAAGTCTGTACATGCTCAGTGCCAATACAGTTTTCCCCCAAATATTGCTGGTCCTCAGTTGTTTGAATCTGTGAATATGGATCCTGTTGCCATGGAAAGCTGACTGTACTTCATTATTCAGATAACAATATGGCAAGAACGGGCAGACACAGGGCCAACGGCAGGTGGCTGCAACCTGCAGAACCGCGGTCCCACTGAAAAAGGAGCCAGCGTCTAAAAATGCAACAACTGTCATCATCTGGATAGAATGGCCAGCTTCTTAGAGAAAATGAGGACAGGGCCCATACATTCATTCAGTCACAGAAGCCTCTGCACTGCCCTGCCCTGAACTTACCTTGTCTTCCTCTTACTCAGACGACAGAGACAGCTTCAGGGTAAGCCCGGCTCCAATGCCAGGCTCCCTTCTCATTCCCGGAACTTGGCTGAGCTCCCTCTCCATAGCCCAGTGTGTCACATGGGGTCACACAGGACTGCCTGACAGGGCCCTGTGATGGAAATGTGATAATCCACAGAAGGCCATGATCTTGCGTTGCTTGGAACATAGCACCAAATAAACGTCCCCCAGCAAGCATCCACACTGTGCTAAAAGGGTTGTCACTGTGGTTCTGCACATGGAAGCCACCAAAGCTCCAAGTGACCCAATGAAATAGCAGAGCAGAGATCCCCCGCTTTGGGCTGGGCAATTAGCACAGCAGAGACTGGAAGCAGAAATACCAGGATCTTAAAGGTCCCCATCTGGGTCCAGCAGTCAATAACTGTGGGAAGCGGAAGCTGGCTTAAGACAGGGATGGAGAGGTCGTTCTCCACCTTGCTGATCCAAGTGGCGAGATGACACTGCTAGCTGAAAGTGTGGGGCAAGACCACACTGTGCACAGAGGAAGCCCGCGGTGGTGATCAGCCAGGTTGTCACCACCCCACGAACCTGCAGGATCCCGAGCCCCAGCCCTCGGGGTAAGACACGCCAGCTGTGTCGGGGCCAGCCTCTGGATTCCTGCTGCAGACACACCTCGGCCTCCATCGCTCATTGCCCGCATAGGAGGAACCCGAGTGGAGCTCGCTTCCCCCAGGACCCGAGCGCTCAGACCCTCCCGCGCTGGCCCCCTTTGCCCGCGCAGACGCCCACGGCCACACGAGGGCGCCGACGCCCGCCGTGCTCCTGGCCGCGCAGCGCCAGGGGGAACAAAGGAGCCCGGCTCGGCCACGCTCACCTGGACCAACCTGCACGCCCGGGGCTCGGGACACTGCACCCGCCCAGCCTCGGGCTCCGCGAAGGAGTTCATTTTGCTCGAAGTTTTTCTTAGAAATTTGTTAAACAAATATCTCTCCCTCTGATGGTCTTTCTCTCCAGCCTGGGGATGAAATATAAGAGCTTTGGGACTCTAAAAGGGTTACTGGGTTTGTGGTTTTATGATATTTTCTGTTCTGTATTCTCCGTCTCCTTCCCCAAGTTTTCCAGGATCCTGGCGCCACCGTTTTTCTCCCCTTTGGATCATTAAGGGAAACTTCTTTTAGTGCTTGGACAAAGTAGACACATACCTTTGGGAAACAGCGTAACACAAACGCAGGAGAAAGGCGGGGAGAAGGAGGAAGCCAGGTTCTTGCAAGCAAAGGTAACTTGCCACTGCAAAGTCAGTCCAAAATGGCTTTTACTTCTAGATAGGTACCACTGACTATATGCAAAACCCTAGGGGCTGGGGATTTAGCTCAGCTGCATAAGTGCCTGCCTTGCAAGCAGGCAGTCGTGAGTTCGATCCCTGGTACCGATAAAAACGAAAAAGACAAAACAAAACAAAACAAAAAAACCCTATATACACCTACTTCCTTTATTCCTTGGTTAGGAAATACGAAGGGGCTAAGTTGCAGTCATGAGAATCTGTCCTTCACCTGCTGGATGCGACACAGCTCCCTAAACTGACTGGCACTGGCCAGGCTGAGCAAGCCCTAGGAGCCCAGAGATGCAGAGGCAGACAGTGCTTTCCTGGCTGCCATAGTTCAGTGGTCCCCAGTGAATGTCTTACTCCCAAGGGCGTGAACAACTGATTCTCCCGCAGGGCTCACAGCCCAGATCTCAGGAGTGAGTTTCCAGGGTCTTGAGGGAGTAGTCATCCTCACAGACAGAAATCTAGCATCTGGAGAAAGTGTCTCTGTGAGCAGAGGTGGTTTACAGGGGCCCCAGGCCCGGAGCAGATGCTGCAAGCCAAGTCACTTAGCTCAGCAGTTAAGGACTGTGCTTGTCAAATGAGACCTATCCTGTGTTCCTTCCTGATGGTCGCTGGAATGCTGAGTAGAGTTCTTGTCCCTGAACCCCAAGGGCAGTCTGCTAGGAGGTGTTGTTGAGGTGGAGGTGGTCCCCATTTATGGTGGGTGGGGGTGGCGGAAGGGCATTGAGTCTTACAGCCAAGAAATGCCATGCCATAAATTGATCTTAAACGACAAAGGGCCAGGAGTAGAGGACTTTCCCAGTAGCTACTGGTTACCAGTAGAGAGGCATCAACAGCAGTGTTCCTAGACTACAGTTTCAAAATATTTTAAAATGGGCATTGGCTTCCTATAATATGAGGTTGGCCTTTGGTGATGGACAAATGACAACTTCTCGGGTTTTTTGAGCTTGACAGGGAAGGTAGGGAATGTTCAGAGGTGGTCCAGAAATCACAGATGTTTCTCTTCCTCTTCTTCTTTTCTTCTGTTTCTGTTTCTCCTCCTCCTCCTCCTCCTCCTCCTCCTCCTCCCTCTTCTTAGGGTGCTGGGAATTAAACCCAGAGCCTTCACACCGAGCTACAACCTCGTTTTCATTTTAAACTTTGAGAGATGTCTTGTTATGTCGCTAAATCACCCAGGCTAGGCTTAGATCTGTGTTCCTCCTAGCTTAGCCTCTGTCTTAGTTACTGCCCTTTCTTTGTTTTTAACAAAAAAATACCTGACACACTCAAGTTAAAGGAGGAAAGGTTTATTTTAGCTCATGGTTTTTGGGTGTTTCAGACTATAGTCAGCTGGTTTCAAGGCAAGGGGGCATGGCAGAGGGGAAGGCAGAGAAGAGAAAGTTCATGATATGGCAGCTGGGAAGTGGCGTCTTCCTTCTTCTTTCCCTTTTTATTCTACCAAGCTACAAGCCTATTGGTTGGTAACACTCATACTCAGGGTGGGTCTCCCCCTTCAGTAAATCCATCATGAACTGTGCCTATCCAGAACTATGCGAAAGTAATCAGTGGACTACCCCTGTATCACATACCCATGACCCAGGATAAGATAATTATGATTCAGTGTCAAATATTCATGAGCTCATGAGGCTTTGGGGAGACGTTTAGACCAGTGGTGGTGAACCTATAGCATGCGAGCCACAGTGGGTTGTTTGTAGCATTGAAAATTCTAAAAGCTTCACCACTATTGATCTAGAGATACACTGTAACAGCATCCCAGAGTGCTGGGATTACAGATGTGTGCCACTCTGTCTGGTTAGATTAGTTTCTATTTAACCTACAATGGGGACTCATCAGTTATACAAAAGAAAGTGAGGCAGGGTGGCAGGAAATTGGGACAAGTTCAGTGACTTTCCCGGGATCATCACGTGGTCAGCCTTTCTGATAACATTGGGATGAAAACCCCCAGCCCTGGGAGCCCTGGCTGTTCCTGTCTGTGGTATCACATGGTTGCTCCAGTGCCTAGAGACTTTGGGTGCTGTGGACATTGCATCTCACTCATTCTGCCAGCCCGTTAATTGACCCATGAGTTTCCTTCCCGTGTTCAGGTTGGCAGACACCAGGAACTTGCCCCAGTCCCAAGGGCAGGTGGCACAGGGTGGGCAGTATTGAGGCCAGAGTCCATTCTGTCCTTAGAGCCCCTCCATATTTTGGTTATGAAATTACTCAGACATTCAGAAATGTTGCAAGAATAGTGCAAGGAGCACTGTATAATGTTCACTGTCCAGTGCCAAGAGTAACATTTTTGGCTTTGTCTATGAGTTTGTGCCCTTTTTTTCTGAGCCACTTGAAAAGTGTATTATAAACATCAGGCCATTCAATCCCTTAAACTGTGTTCCTTGGTACATGAAAATTCTCCTGCAAAACCAAGCTACCCTAATCTTACCTAAGTAAATTATCTTACCTAAATAATAGAATCTCATTTCCCAAACATATCAAAATTTCTCCATTAATCCCCACATACCATCTTTTATAATTTTATAGTAGCTTTTTTTTTTTTTGTACCCAGAATGCAACCAGCTTTCCCAAGTTATCTCTCCATTGCATTTGGAACAATAGACCAATGGCAGATATGTGTAGGATTTTTGGGTTAACGTCTCAAACACAAGCCTTAGCCATGTTAAGAATTTCTCATTTCCATTTATTTAAAAAAAAAATCATATCCTCCGAGTCACAAATTAGTCCTTAATTCTTCCCCTATTTTGAAAGCTTTGTGAATTCAACTAATGGAACTCCAGGTGTGTGAAAGAGGTGAAAAGCCTCCTATGTGCTTGATGACACACCTGAACTTGAAACCTCTGAAACATTTATAGCAACAGTGCGTCCCACATGAATTTGTAGAGCATATGAAGGAAAAGATGCAGACTGGCTCCATGAAGGTGGGTGATTAATCTCTGGAAATAGGAGCATTTTGGAAATTGATGAATCCTACTCAAAATATCTTGGTTCTCTCAAGAACACAATCTCTAGAAAGAGCCCAGTCACGTGACATAACAGGGTATCACTCGGCATGGCTGACTTCACGATCTCTTGGTTTCCTTTGCACTTTATTCCCCTTGGTCGGGTCTTTTTAGGAAGAACTGCCAGGCTGCTTTAAACCTCATAGAAATCTGGGCCCAGGGATTTAGCTCAGTGGCATAAGTGCCTGCCTTGCAAGTGCATGGTAGTGAGTTCAATCCCTGGTACAGAAACAAAACAAATCAAAACAAAAAAAATCACAGAAATCTGGAACTGGGGCAGAGCAGGCACAGTGGCAATTCTAATTCAGATATTCCTCATAGTCTTAAAGAAGCTCTGTGCTACCTAGAGTGCTTGCCTAGCATGTGCAGGATTTTATATTGAATCCCTAGGATGACAAACTGATAAACAAAAAGCAAACAAACAAAAATCCTAGCTCTTTCTTGGGGCCAAATGTGTCCCCCAGGGTGGAAAGTGTTTACCACAAGGCATCATCCCCCTCTCCTGCTGCTTGAGAGAGTAGGTGATGCAGACAGGCAGTTCTCAACTGTACCTGCCTTCCCTGGACATCTCGTCTAGGTGGGGCTTGCCAGGCTAATCAGCTGGGCTAGGATGCGGTGGGGAGTGTATATCACCAGTGACAGCTCCAGCCTGTGTGAACACCAGCTTCACAATAACTATAAATATAACACCATTAAAAGCCGCATAATGCTGTCACAGTGCTAGCAGGTCTTCACTGATTCACTCCCGACCCAGGGTCTCTGGAGGTGGAAGTGGGATAGTCACATGCAAATGGTGGTAACTCTCATGGAAAATACATGGACTCTCCCATGTGCTGGAGAGATTCTCCAAACGTAGAGTGGAGCATCTGAATCAAAATGTCCAAGTGTCCCTGTCCTAAGTCATTCATTCTTTTCGCGATGCTATGTGATATCCTGGCATAACAACCAAGGATGTCTTACCATAGCAACTATGGATATCTCTGTAGCTGAAAAATGGAAGACTCTGAGAGCACAAGTTGTCATTGGCCGAAGGTCACATAGCTAGAGTGAAGAGAGCTGCCTGGCGCCTCTCCACTTGCAAGCAGAACCCATTCACGGGGAGGCCAGCCTTCCAAACCCACAGTCGTTGGGGAAGTCTTGGCTTAGAAACTGAGTCCTAAGTTTAGTATCAGGGATGCCATGTGGTAGTGGGGTTAATGATTAGTTAAAGGCCACAAATTCCCTTGAAGATGGATGGGAGATGCCAGGATCCAGCCTCCCTCATCGTGGATTCAGTAACCATTGTGCTCCTTAGGCCACTCTGGTCCCCACCGTTTGGGTGCTTCTTCATGCTTTGGCCAGTATTCTTATTAGCTGTAGCAATAACGGTGGTACCGAAGATTGAACTTTTGTTTTTGTCTTTTTGAGACAGAATCTCGCTACGCGTTCAGGCTGGCCTTGGGCTCACTTTGTAGTCAAGGCTGGTCTCCAACTTGCAGCCATCCTCCTGTCTCAGCCTCTTGAGTGCTGGGGTTAGAAGAGGGCCCCACCATGCCAGGCTATGAACTTGAGGCCTTTGTACTGAGCCACAGCCCCTAGACTTATTTGTATATTAATGAGTTAATTTTTTGAGGCAGTCTTGCTTAGTTGCTACATTGCCCTGGCTGGGCTCAAACTTGCCATCCTTCTTGGGGATATTGTTGAGATGTTACTTAAAGAATGAAATTCAATTTTGCAGGAAGCTGAGATCCATACCAGAAGAGCTCAAAGCAAAACTTGTTCCTGTTTTGTTGGTCCTTCGAGGGGTGGTGGCGAAGGAACAGTCACCCGTTAGAAAACAAATTGCTAAGAGGAACTGCTTTATCTTACAGGAGAGGCTGCCACAGAAGAACCCTTTCCGCTTCCCATCTCCAATGGGCTAAGGATGTAATTTGTTTCTGGACTTGAGTGGGGTGTCCGAATTCTGGTGTCCTCATTTTTCTCCTTTCCAATTGATGTATCATTACTAGCATGAAAATAAAAAAAAAGGGGGTTTTGGAAAAAAAAGAGTGACTACTCAAGACATTTTGTAAAGAGGAGAAAATTGTGAAGAAAAGGACCTCGGTAGGGGGTGCAGGGCGGTGAATGTGGCCTTGTCTGCTGCTTCTTTCAGTTGAAACCTGGTGCTGGCGGTCCGTTCAGTTCAAACTGTCACCTTTAGTTCTTGCGGGCTTTTCTGCCCTTGCCCCAGAACCTCAGCAGATTGGAGCTTATTTACCTATTCACACTCGGCCGTGGAGCCTCATTAATAGGCTTATTAGCAACACCATTCACAGGAGGCCATTGACAAAAGCGGTTCCAGCCACTTGAAGAGGGAAGAGGGGAGGAAAAAAAAAAAAACTGTAAAGAGATTATTTTCTCATTCAAAAGCTTCTGGTGTGAAAGGTTTCCTGGATTGACTGGGGTCACTTGAAGCCTAAATATGATGCCAGAATTGATTTTTCAAAAAATTCCAAACATGCTTTTGAGCGTCTCAAAACCGAAGAGTTGGGGCTTGCAGGCTTGGCTCCCTTAAAAATGAGCTCTTTTAAGGGGGTCAGGGGCTTTGGAAGGGTTGCTGTCTTTTCATCAGTATAAAGAACAAATTCCACAAATGGTGTCTGGACATTAAAGTAGGTGTTCTTACTTGTCATTTTCAGTGGAAGGCTTCCTTTCCATTCAGCCCACATAAAGCTGGGGATGAATGGGGACAGGGACTGCTTCCTGCAGCAGTAATTTATGTGAGAATGTGTTAAGGGCATTTTCCATGGCTGATGGATCTGTGCAGGATGGATGGGAAGGACCCGTCCTGAGACTCTCTGGCTGCCTACTGGCTGGGATATAAAGATGTAAGTGCCAGCTCAGAGCAGGCAGCCTTTGGCCACATCTCTTTTGTGGTCCTAAGTCTGGGAACTTGAAAACACATCAGTATGGCCTGAGCAACCCCAGTAGAAGCGGCTGGTGGAGTGCACCTGACCAAGGTGTCTGCTAATTAAAAAGGTCTGGAACTGACTCTGGTTAGAAGACTACCCAAAAGATACCCATCCCACTACACACGTAGACTGATAACTGTGCTTAAGAATCAGACTATTATCTTTGGGGTCAGATTTCCAAGCTGTAATTTAGTGGCTGTTTGCCTAAGGCATTAAAATGGGTTTGTTACTCCTGACTTTCCAGTAATTTGCATAATAATTTTCCAGACTCTATGGTGAATAAAAATGTTTTCTAATCAGGTGGTGCCCTGAGAAATTTTCTGTGAGTGGTAAGAAGTATGCATTGTTAGTGACCCAGGTATAACTGCCCTGCCCAATGCAGGACAAGCAGACCTTCTGGGCTGCGTTTGTTCCCTGTTCCATCTTCAGGTGTCAGAAGGATTCTAAACTACTTCTGGGTTTAGTGACCTTTCCTAAAGAAAAATAATTTAGGTTTTTATTTATAGTGTCTTGAATTTAGGCACAACTGCTCAGGAGGTAGATAAGGAGGGAAAGAGTCTTTTAAAAAAGACAGATTAGTGAAAAAAGCAATTAGAAAATGTGAACTTTAATGGGTTATAGCCTGGCATTTAGTTGACGCATTATGTTTTGCAGTTGAATAATCTAAGATGCAAAAGAGGAACTGATTTGCTCAAGGTCATACAGCTGTTCATGGCAGATCTGGGTTTTACTCCTCCATCCCTTCTTTTTTCTTGCATTGCTTGGGTGGAACCCTGGGTCTCATGCATGCTAGGCAAGCCCTCTAACCTGAACTGCATATCCCCAGCTACTCTACAGAGGGTTTTTGTGTGTGTGTGTGTGTGTGTGTGTGTGTGTGTGTGTTAGTCGGGGACCAGGTCTTTGCACTGAGTGGCATCCTCCTAGGCCTTTTTTATTTTTATTTTGAGACAGCTCTTGCTAGGTTGCAAAGTCTGGACTCGAACTTGTCATCCTTCTTCCTCAGCCTTCCTGAGCGGTGGGATGACAGGTGTGTGCCAGCATGCCTGGCTGAGTCTTCTCAGATACAAATACATATGACTAAAAAAAAAAAAAAAAAAAAAAAAACCTGTGCTGTTGGGAGATTTTACCTTTTTATAAGAGAGTAACACTCAAAGTCAGGCGGTAGCACCCAGGTGGACATCGCTGGCAAACTACTTACCCTCTTTGATCAGAAACTGGGAATATTATTGCACGTGAGAGGCACCCGAATTTTGTGCAATTACCTATTCAATGTGCCCTCCTTGTAGAAGGGCCTCTATGCATTTTCGCTTTTTTGTCTTATTTTTATTGTTTAGAAGGCCTGAAAAGATGACAACATCATCCTACAAATATTTCTAGGTTTCTTCCTTTCCTCCAAAAGCTTCAGTCGCATTGCATTTCTTCCCTTAGTACCATGGAGACATATTTCAAGGCCTCTTTAGGGGGAAGCGCGTTCTGTCATTTGTTTCCTAACTTGACATAAAACATCGAAACACAGCCACGCTGCAAACCACCGACCAGCCTCACTCGCCGGGGAGGGGAGGACGCGGCAGCGCGGGGCGCGCACCGGGCCTTTTTCGGAGGAGACCGTGGCGCCCTTCCACCTCCACCGTGCCCGGGGCCCTCGCCTCCCGGACGGTGTCTCCAGCAGCTCCAAGACGTCGGGAGCGGCGCGGGGCTCCAGGCGGCCGGGGCGCGCTGCGCTGATTGGCAGAGCGGGCGCCGCCGTCCAGGAAACGGCTCGGATTTCAGCGGGGGCGTGACCCGCCGGAGGAGGCGGCGGCGGCGGCCGCGAGAGCGCCTCGGAGAGCCGAGCGGGCGGGTGGCGGGTGCGGAGCGGCGGGGGAGCGAGTGCGCGCGGCCGCCACAAAGCTCGGGCGCCGCGGGGCTGCCTGCGCCGTACCTGGCCCGGCGCGGCGACTCCTCTCCGGGCTGGCGGGGCTCGGTCGCGAGACCCCGGGCCCCGAGGCCGCAGCTCTCCAGCGCACTGTGAACGTTCCCAACTTGCGAGCAAAGTTTGGAGGAGGAAGCGCCAAGCCCGAGTTCTTTCTTCCTCTCGCTCCCCAAACCCGAGGGCAGCCCGCGGCGTCATGCCCGCGCGCCCCCGCAGCCGGGGGTGCATGTGAAGCCTCGGAGTCTTTGCGCCGGCCAGGATCCCAAGACCACTTTCTGGAGTCCCTCCCCGAGCTCGTCGCTTGCTCCATCCCGACTCACTGCAGGCTCCAGGACAGCGTAGATCGCGGAGGAGCGTTGCCATTCAAGGTAATCGCAGTGTCGGACTCCTCCGGGAGCTTCGCCAGCGGGAAGGTGGGCGCCGTGGGAGCCACGCGCGCAAGGCGCACTGTCTATTGAGTGCGGGGCGCTAGAGATCTGGCATTGTAGGGGTGCGCTTTCTGTCATCCTAGGAGTAATAGGTGATGTGAGAGGTGGGTACGAGCGGATGCCCGGCGTTTGGGGAGTTCTGCCACTAACGCCCCATTCAGATGCTGACATATGCCTGTGCCGATGACAACCTTCTCTATCAAACTCCAGTTGGCCCCAGCATACCAGCTGGGCGCGTTCCTTCCATCCAGGGGCGGTGTGTGCATGGCACAGCCCCGCAGGCCAGGGCTCCGGAGGGCATCTTCGGGCACCTCATCTGCGTGCTCGAGGAGCGTCCGCCTGCCTCATCCTGGCCCCGGTGGGCCCCTTTACTGAGAAGGAGACTCTGGAGGCGGGGCCGGCGAGTTTTCCCGAGGGGGTGGCTATTGCTAGGCTTGGTACCTTCGGGAAGGCAGCGGCTCGGTTCTGGATTTCGATACCGGGTGCGGGTCGACCGCAGCCGCCGTCGGGAGCACACAGCGAGCCTGGGGCTAGGGGGCGAGCTGAACCGACTTTTTCTTTTTTGCCTGCTTGTTCTGCTCTTAGCTGCTCAGAGATGTCGAAAGCGCAGACGAGTTCTAACTTGCGCGCTCATTCTTTCAGCGCCTGGGCCGCGTTGGGGAATCGGCCGAGGGCCTTGCGTGGCGCTAGCTCCGACACTCATGGCCAGGGAGGCAGAAGCAGGAGGCAGCCGGGGGGCGAGGAGTTTCCACCGCTCAGCTCGCCGCCTGCTTCCCTCCAAACTCTTCCCGAAGATCTTCCGTCCTCTCGCCAGCTCAATAAAATCTATTCTTAAAGACGAACCTGCTTTCAAACTCAGGGCACTCATTATGTGTTTGGTGTGAAACGCTATCAACATTTAAAACTCTATTGTCCCCTCCGTCCCAAATCCCTGTAAATCTTCCACCAGTCTCGACTCATTTTCATCTGAAAAGCTTGTTTAGTTTGAATAGAAAAGCAATCAGGCCCCCCTTTCCCTCTCCCTGGAATGTCAATTAAAATGCAGATTTCTCTATGCTCTTTAGCGCCCCAAGAAGCAGGGGGGAAAACAGGATATTCCAGGCAAGCAAGGGAAAGAAACGCTACAAAGAAACGGGGTGGTTGTGGTGGTGACCAGCAACCCGAGTGCTCGAATTCCAGCGTGTTGAGGGATTGTGGTCCTGGATCAGCTTGTAATTTTTGAGGTTTCAGTATGTTGAGGAATTTGGACCCCTAGACATGACCTCTTGACAGCTCCCTGCTGTATTCAGCGTTGGACAGAAGTGGAGAAGCGGTGAGATGGGACTGCACTTAGGGCCAGCATCCCTGACCTGCCTGCCACTATTGACTGTGGTGATGCAAAACCTGCCTGGGGACTGAACGCCAAGTACTCAGGCTGGCGAGCCAACAGAGGACAGGCTGTCCCCTTAGGTAGATACTAGGTTAGGTGGGCAGTGCACTGACCTGCCTTATTGGGGCTGGAGGTTTGAGAAGGTTGTTTTGGGCTGAGAAGCCCAACACAGGCCCGATGTGAGGACCACTCCCCAACCAGGCTCTTTCCGTTGGTCACTTTGCCTGTCTTTGGAGGCAGGCTTGTGGCGAGGAGAAAATGGACTGGAAGGGCCAGTGGCCATGAAGAGCCATCCATCAGAGGGAGGGTGACAACTCCCTCGCATAGGCTGAGAAGAGAGTTCCCTTTCAGGGGGAAAAATAAACACGCTGGGGCTTTCACTGGGGCTCAGACTCCAGGAAGGATTATGGTATTGAAGGCAGGAAGCTGGGATTGTGGCCGCCAGCAGCATGCTGGGCCTGTGTTCCCAACACTGAGCCTCGGGACCTAATTATCCTGCCTAGGAGGTCGCCCTGCACTTTTGTCCACTGCAGTGAGGAGCTGTGCAGACCTGCTGCCTTCAGTCCCCACCTTCCATCGATCAGAGGGCAGGGAGCAGCTGTGGGGCCTGGACCTGCAGGTACTGAAATTCAAGTTTCCAGTGCAAGCTGTTGGTGAAGGAAAGTTGACTCAGCTAAGGGTACTATCCACGTTTCTCTGATCTAAGAAGGCTCTGCTGGGTAGGGACAGGAGGGTAAAGTGATCTGGGAAGCAGTCTGGGCCAGACCTTCTGCTAGGTAGGACATAAGCTAGTGATACATGAAGTTGCATGAGAGAGGCAGAAAATTTCTCTGCATTGTGCAAATGCTTAGTGTATTATGTTAGAAAGCTTATGTACCTTCCTCCTGCATGTATGTAGAATTATCTGTTGAGATTCTTGAAGAAGAAAATAGGGAAATTCTTGTAAGCAATCTGGTAACCCAGGATGTGGACATGCGTACCCTTGTTTTCCCTTTGTCGGCCCGTCAGTGTTTCATCTCTGCTTGCTTTAAAGCAGTTTTCATGATTTCTCCTTTGGAAAGAATACATCCCGTTTGTCTACAGTTGTTTTAATCTTTAGTCAAAGCTACAAGGAGCTGTCTTTAGGATAGAGCCCTGGTAGTGTTGAAGTCCTGGGTCATAATTTAAAACTTCAAATCTATGCAAAAAGCCTGGGGTTTAGAGATTTTTGTGCATCTTACTCTGCCCCCAATTTTCACGTTTATGTGGTTAATGGAATCTGAAGCCCAAAGTTGATGTACTTTTCCTCTGGAGTGCTTTAATTAATTTTTCTAACATTTGTGGATTTTGACTCAATACTTAGTCACACAGGATGCTGGTAAATCTTAAGCTATTTGAACTATTTTCAACTTTCTTGGAAAATTCTCTTTGCCTTGATCAAATGAGTGAACAGAATAGTAAGTAGCGTGCCTCCTTATTGTATCTACTACTTTGGAATTTTAGCCAATAAATTAGCATATTGAAAGTTACTGGGCCAATCACATACCACAACTTACATATCATCATCATTACTAGTAAACTCTTGCATTATTCATCAATGTTTGCATCTGCTCTGTTTTTTAACCTCCTTGATATAGGTTGAAGACATTTAGTAGGCCCTGCGCTTTCATTTAGTTAGTTTGAGTTTCTTTTTGAATCAACCACTTTGTATTATAGTTCTGTTCATTCTTTGTAAGTGGCTGCTTGCAAGGTGAGAGATTGAAATACATGTTTACATTTGAAGATAAATCCTGACAAGTGTAAACTGATGGAAGTTTTTTGTAGTCATCCTAGGATTCTTTTGCTTTTGCTTGTCTCCTGGCTTCCTGAGAGCTGCAGTGCTTAGGGAGGGATAGCATCTTAGCTCCAGCTCAGCTGAAACCCAGGTCTGACTGTAAGCAGCTACCTCCACCGGAGAGCTTCCGAAAGCCCAGCTGGGCTGAGAGACGTTAACGAGGTTGGTTATGCCAACCGGAGCATTTTTAACTTGCTTTTGTAGTTGCCCTTGAAACTAAGGTCATGTTGCTTCTGCTTTTAGAAGGCTGTAGAGGCGATAGTGGATAGTGGAAGAAGAACACACTTTGCTTAACTGAAGTGGCTGCGCGTTTGGGTCTGGGTCTTGAAGTGACCGTTTTAACCATTTCTTAGAAGTATGCTTTTTGAAAGATCAGCCTGACACTTCTTGGGGACTGGGCTGGTCCCTGGGGCTCCAAGGTGAGGGTGGAAGGCTTTTGCTGATAATGAAAAAGAACTCTGTTTGCACACACTGGAGAGGCTGAGAAACGGTGTTAGCCCATTTGTGCTTAAGTGAGCTGGCGCTGGGAAAGAAGATTATACTGACTCGAGGAATCTTTTTCTTTCAGTGGTGGCAGCAGTGGCAGCAGCAGCAAGTCCAGCAGCCAGCCCAGCCGCCACCGCAGCGCCCTGGGTCCTGAGCCCCCTGAGGGCTGAAGGCATTGTAGGCTGCAGTCCATGCTCCTGGAGGAAGTGTGCAGATGGGATTAACGTCCACATGGAGATATGGAAGAGGACCGGGGATTGGCACCGTAACCATGGTCAGCTGGGGTCGCTTCATCTGCCTGGTTGTGATCACCATGGCAACCTTGTCCCTGGCCCGGCCCTCCTTCAATTTAGTTGAAGATACCACATTAGAGCCGGAAGGTAAGTTATTTAATTTCGCTTTCAAGGTACCAAGTTTGTTTTGGGACGGTGGTGGGGGAGGAGTGGCACTTGATAAGGTCTTTTTTAGAGTCAGCTGCCGTCTCATGATAGCATGGGAGAGGGGTCTCATAGCTCCCTCCTAGGAGGGAGATGGCACGAGAAGATTTCTGCTGCCACTTGGCAAGGAGAATGATGCAGTTTGGTGGTTTCTGAGTGTGTGCTTCTCTGCTGGGTGAGGAGACAGCGACTGCTCCTTTAGCCAATGCCCAGGAGAGCTGTGGCAGGGAGGCACCTTGAAAAGCTGGCTGGCATCTACTGCCTCCTGCTGCAGCTTTTGCTGGAAGAGAGTCTTGCTTGCATGTAAAGAATTACTATTTTATGACAAAAGGAACCACTGAGGGAAATTGCTAACATCTTAAATGCTGACGTTTTATTTTCATTGTTTAAGGGGAAGGTTCTGAAGTTCAGCAGAGCCTTGACATATTAAGACTTTTTAAGGCTGTAGTAATTCATTATATACCAGCACTGTGCTTCGGAGTGGCAGATTCTATTTTAAGGAGACTTGAAAGTGAATACACCAAGGAATCTCCCGCATCTGTGAGAATTTCAGATTTCACAGGGTGTGCCTGAGTGTTTCGTTGTTGGAGACTTAATTGCAAAGGCAGAAAGCCTGTTGTGAGGACTCCACAAGGCTGAAATATTCAGCTGGGCAAGTCTGGAACCTCTTTCTCAGGAGGCAGTGTTCCTTAGCCAAGCCTCTACTTGGTGCAGCATTGAAATCTGTCATCAGTAGGGAATATAGGTAGCTGAGTTATTTTTCTAGTGGTAATCCGAGAGTAAAACGGCAGATCCCAGCACTCATCGCCACTTAATGAACCTGTTTGCCGAGAGCCCACCTGGTGCCTGCTGGCTTTGGGAGCCTGACGTGGTCCTGAGTGGAGTCTGGGGTCAGCTGAGCTATTGTGGGAGTGCGTCGTGCTCGCCCAGAGGGCTAGGCTGGGAGAGACAGGAGGCCCGGCCTCCTTAGCCCAACCTGGATGCCCACAAGAAGGACTGCACTCCCATCCGAGATGAGAGTCTGAGAGAGGGGTCCAGGAAGCACTCGTGCACTCATCCCAAAAAAGGATAAGAACCAAGACATCTGTGGCTTGAAGCATGTGAGTGAGACTGGGGAATTTCTGGTTACAAGGAAGCAGGGTGGCTTTGTAATTACCCGTTGTGGTTACAGTGGGTCGCCTACCAAGTCTCTGGAAAGGGAATCTTTTAGAGGTGCATTTTGGAGGCTTGTATGGGCTGTGGCTTCAGACTTTTATGGAGTGGCCTTTTTGTGATTTGGGCTATTAACAGCAGGAGTAGTGTAATTTTCAGTGGTAAAGCACTTTAAAGTGGCTTAATGTGAGGGGAAAAGTTCCCGGTTTCTGAGCATCATGCCTGTACTTCTTTAATTTTGCTAATAATTAAAATGGATGTTTCCCTAATTACTGGTTTTCCCCTGAGTCCGTGGCTCAGCACAAACTGAGGACGCTAAGCTGGGATTTCCTATAGTATGGGTGTCAGCAAATGGCCTAAGTCAGGAAAAACTGTCATTTTTCATTTGAATGTTCAAGGTAGCATTAGTGTGAATTTTTGTCAACGTAAAGTGTAAAATGGTCCTGGAGGATTTCTTTTCCCGCATTTAATTATTGAAGGAAGTTTAAAATATGTGTGTACGCGCAGGCAGAGAGGTAGGTAGAGAAAGAACAGTGGACAGGGGCGAAGGCCCCCAAATGGTTCTTTGTATAAGAATTTATATCCAACAATGTGAGTATTGTTGAAAGCGGGTCTTCTTGACTGGGGGACCTGTGCATGCACTTAGGGGTTGGGGGTGAAAGGCCATGAGGTCCTGAAAATTGTGGATCGTACTCTATCAGTGTCCTTTTGTGCATTTTCCTGGGTTGATGATTTCCATGAGGTCTCTCCCCAGAGTAATGAGATGTTAAGAAAAACAGAACAGTTAGAGAAATGTACAAAACTCCACCAAAAGGAGGCTTTGGAAAAGCATATAAATGCTTAACCTCAGTTTCCCCTTCTGTCTCCCAGGGGTTGGATAGTAGGCCTTTTGATTACTGCCTCAAAAAGTCACTGGATTTCAAGAGAAGCAGTTGGCACAGGTCCTGGCATCTCATGGTGCCTGGTGTATGGTATTGTAGTCAGTGTCTCCAGTGAACTGAGAGCGAGGGTCTTTCCAGTCCCTTGGGCTGGCTATGCCAGTTGCTAGTGTTGACAAACAGATGCTTGAGGGGAAAGTTGCTGTTGGGTAGAGAGGGCAGCAGTGCCTGCTCTCCACGCTCCCTTTCTCCATCAGTCAACCTCACCATCTGATTTGGGGCACAAGGCCAGCGATCTCTTTAAGTTTTGACTTGGTGTCAGTGCCCATTAGAATTACAGAGGGAGAAGGAGTTTTTAGTGACTGGGAGCTGCTGGAGCAGTTCTGGGTTAGCTTCTAGGTGTGTCCATCTCTCTGTCCATGGTTAGTGTGACTACAGCTTTAGTTAACAGTAAGTTTAGCTTTGATCTTTTAAGCCTTATCTCAGAGGACTGTTTGGTTTGCTAATTGGGAAGCTAAGTTTAGATAATGTCTATTGGGTGAAAGAAAAATGTGATTGTGAAGTTCCTGGGAGGAATTTGGACGCCCACAGTAAATAATGCTTTTCTTTTGACCCTTCAAGGAAAGGCTACGTCCAGGCATTTGGCTTTGTACAATATCAGATTGTACATAATCATGCCATATCATATGTCATAAGGCATCATATTCTAGCATCTGCTGTAAACTTTCTCAAGTGGTACCAGTCGAGTCAAGTCTACTCAGTTGATCTAAGACAATTTCCTGAACATTTTGGTCGCTAACATTGCAAATTAAAGGTGATGATTTCCAATTGATCATTCAATGATGCAGGGAACAGTCGGAGGGTATAAATGTAGTTATAGATTTGAAGAGAGGAGGTCCCCAATGCCAACTACTGTTTTATTAATATTTTCAACGTTTAGAGGATATTGAAGCTTGATTAGAGAGAAAAGGAAACTATTACTTTCAAATTCTTCCTGCAGTTGTCACCTACTTTGGTTAATTAAGTCATTGTTGACATTAAGAGAATTTTGTTTATACCAGCACAGTAGGAGCTAAAATAAAAGGGTTTTTAATTACTTTCCCACCTTTAATTACTTTCCCACCCTCCACAAAGTATGGTTCTGAAAAGCGGCAACCTGGTGGAAAAATATGTAGTTGGCATGCTTTTTTTAAAACAAAACAAAACAAAACAAAACCAATTTTTGGCAGTCTTCTGATTACGGTTTAAGTGGTGCTGTCCTGGATCAATTCAAGTTGGTCCAAAGTTCAAAAGCAGCAACACTGAGCATGGGATCTACCCAGAGACCTCCCTAAGTCACATTTTTCCAGTGTAGTTTCAGGCCTTTGTCAGAAGTACTGTAAATGCCATAGTATCAGCCATACGCATTTAATTGCAAGCTAGAAGAAAAGAAAAGAAAAAAGAATATATCCGCATACCAAAAGTGAATGATTCACAATAATCTTCTGTTTTGTATTATCTTCATCTTTGTTCCTCAGTATGAGTGTTAATATTTAAGAGTTGACTGTAACTTGATAGTTTAGGAACAAGAACTTATTCTTGGTCAATTAAAACAAATGCAGGCTTATGCAGTTAAATACACAATGCAATACACATTCTTTATTAGTGTATAAAGTATTTCACAACTCACAGAAAAAGAGCTGTGTTTAATATTACTTCAAGAGCAAAAATCTGGCAAGCCAGAGAACTGGTATTTGTATAAATTTCTATATTGGCTCCTTCTAATCTGAATTTGGGGTGCATGCGTTTTGCTTGTTTTTTTTTAATCAGTTAAAACACTGAACACCTATGTAAAAAAATGCACCGCCCCCCAAGCCCATGCCTGCTGCTTTTGAGGCCCCCCCCCCAATTGAGGGTGAGAATTCAACTAACTAGAGCAACCCAGTAAGAGATGCTTCTAACAGCAAGCATAATGAATAATTGTGTGGTTATGAAAAGCGTGGAAAAGTGTTTCAAAGGGAAGAGTTTGTTGAATTCTCAATTAATATGTAGTCTTCCCGCCTGTAGATTGTTGTTTGGTTGTTTACTTGGCCAGGGTGGTTGTTAAAAGCCTGCTACCCCTCTTTCATCAGAGTCTGTCTTACTTTTCCACTTCCGTTTAAGCTAATTTTAGTCTTTAAGGAAAGCGTGGGAAGTGGATTGGAGGTGCCAGTGTGTTACATAAGGTAGGAAACTCAGCCAGTACAGCTTTTCATGCCACTGGTTTGATTCTTAGCTGGGTGCCCTGTCTGGTAGGCAGTTCAGAAATTATTCTGGGGGGTTGGCAAGTGGCAGGCTATTCAACATATAACTCAGCTGGAGAGGGTTGTTTGTGGCTGTGGAGAAATTTCCACAGTCTGTCTCTATTTCTTTGCTTGTGAGGAGACTTTAGCCTGGGGTCCTGTAGTCTTCTTATTTTTTTGTTTTATCCCAAGTGAGATTAGGAGATGGCTCTACCTTTTTGCCTCTGTTAGCTCTCCAGGCTGTTCCTGCTAATCGTGCCACACCCGTACCAGATGTCCTCCTCACCGACTTGCCTCAGTGTAGCTTCCTTTCACTGATAGTGGTGGCCTTTAATTTGTGAGCTGACCTGTGAGTGCTTTGGGCTAAGCCCTGAAACAGCTTAGCTAACAGGTGGGTTTTGAGCAGTTGTGCTCCCGTGTCATTGTGTCCAACTTGGCTTTGACTTTGTGTGCTCAGCTTGGTTTGTTAGGGGCTCTTGAATCTGTGTAGCATTTTGAGGAGCAAGATGACCCTCACTGGAAACCCGAAAGCTTTTTAGAAGCCTTAAATTGTCTCTTCACTTCTGCTATAACGCAGGCAGATCTGAAGTGATCTGGTTAGGTTGCAGCTCTGGCCTTGGATTAGGGATTGGTGAGGAGGTGAGGAAAGCAA